ATATATTTATAGATGGGGTTGTAAAAGAAGTAAATGCTAGGGTGTTCGGGAGAGGGGTGGGATTAAATTATGGGGAATCAAATACAAAATGGGAATTGACACAGTTGCTTTTTGCTGATGATACTGTGCTTATGGGAGATTCTAAGGAAAAATTGCAAACGTTAGTGGACGAGTTTGGGAGTGTGTGTAAAGGTAGAAAGTTGAAAGTGAACAAAGAAAAGAGCAAAGTGATGAGGGTATCAAATGATTTAGATAAAGAAAAATTGGATATCAAATTTAGGAGGAGGAGTATGGAAGAAGTGAATGTTTTCAGATACTTGGGATTTGATGTGTTGGCGGATAGATTTATGAAGGATGAGGTTAATCATACTAGGTAGTAGGTTGGTAAACAGCAACCGCCCAGGGAGGTACTACCGTCCTGCCAAGTGAGTGTACAACGAAAACCTGTAATTGTTTTACATGATGGTAGGATTGCTGGTGTCTTTTGTCTGTCTCATAAACATGCAAGATTTCAGGTATGTCTTGCTACTTCTACTTACACTTAGGTCACACTACACATACATGTACAAGCATATATACACACACCCCTCTGGGTTTTCTTCTATTTTCTTTCTAGTTCTTGTTCTTGTTTATTTCCTCTTATCTCCATGGGGAAGTGGAACAGAATTCTTCCTCCGTAAACCATGTGTGTTGTAAGAGGTGACTAAAATGCCGGGAGCAAGGGGCTAGTAACCCCTTCTCCCATATAAATTACTAAATTTAAAAGAGAAACTTTCATTTTTCTTTTTGGGCCACCCTGCCTTGGTGGGATATGGCCGGTGTGTTGAAAGAAAGAAGAAAGAGGTTAATCATAGAATTGATGAAGGAAAAAAGGCGAGTGGTGCGTTGAGGTGTATGTGAAGACAAAAAACAAAGAAGGGAATGTATGAAAGTACAGTGGACCCTCGCCTAATGAACGCATCGCATAATGTTAAATCCGCCTAATGAAGCATTTGAGTGTAAAAATTTTGGCCCGCTTAACGATAAAAAACTCCCCCAACGTGATTCCTCCCAAACCTGTCTGTCCAGCCTGAGCGCCTCAGCTGCCTTGCTGTCATTGTTTACAAGCCAGGGTGGCTGGTTGCATGCATACATTCGATACATTTTGTATTATTCCATTGTTTATAGTGCTTGTAACTGCTAAATAAGCCACCATGGGCCCAAAGAAAGCTTCTAGTGCCAACCCTGTGGTAAAAAGGGTGAGAAATACTATCATACCGCAGTCAGGTGTTGCTGCACCACGGTCAGCTGTTGCTGCACCAGTCTGCTGCACCACCGTCAAGCTGTTGCTGCACCATGGTCAACTGCTGCTGCACCACAGTCAGCTGTTGCTGAACCACTGTCAGCTGCTGCTGCTGCACTACAGTCAGCTGCTGCACCATGGTGAACTGCTGCTGCACCACAGTCAGCTGTTGCTGAACCACGGTGAGCTGCTCCTGCACCACGGTCAGCTGCTGCTGCACCAGTCAGCTGCTGCTGCACCACGGTCAGCTGTTGCTGCACCATAGTCAGCTGCTGCTGCACCACCATCAGCTGTTTCTGACCAACATGACTCATCCCGAACCTGTCCATTCAGCCCTGCCGTCATTGTTTACAAGCCAGGGTGGTGGGTTGCATGCATACATTCAATACATTTTGTATTATTCAATTGTTTATAGTGCTTGTAACTGCTAAATAAGCCACCATGGGCCCAAAGAAAGCTTCTAGTGCCAACCCTGTGGTAAAAAGGGTGAGAAATACTATCGTACCACAGTCAGCTGCTGCTGCGCCACTGTCAGCTGTTGCTGGACCAGTCAGCTGTTGCTGGACCAGTCAGCTGTTGCTGCACCATGGTCAGCTGTTGCTGCACCATGGTCAGCTGTTGCTGCACCATGGTCAGCTGTTGCTGGACCCGTCAGCTGTTGATGGATCAGTCAGCTGTTGCTGCACCATGGTCAGCTGTTGCTGGACCAGTCAGCTGTTGCTGGATCAGTCAGCTGTTGCTGCACCACGGTCAGCTGTTGCTGGACCACCATCAGCTGTACTACTCAAAGATGTGGAGTGTGTGTTGTTGGTGTGGCTTAACGTGAAACAATTACTGAGAAACGATTAACCCCAGAGGGTTAGTCACCCAGGATAACCCAAGAATGCCAGTGCATCATTGAGGACTGTCTAACTTACTTCCATTGGGGTCCTTAATCTTGTCCCCCAGGATGTGACCCACAACAGTCAACTAACACCCAGGTGAACAGGAAAAAATGCCTGGAACTAGTACTAAATTGGTGTTTTTAAGGCCAGAAAAGGGTTGGGTTTTTAGAGATTTAAGAATTGTAGTGGCATAAAGTGTGAAAAGGGCAGGGCGAAGGGAAAAAAACTCCCCAAAAAGTGTTCAATTGTGACGAAACAGGGCCTGTTCGGGAAAAAAATGCCAAACGGCCGCTTTTCTCAGGGGAAAAGCACTCCCCGACACAAGCCCATGAAAACAGCAACTTCCCCTGTTTTTTTTGAATCTAGTGGGGGGTTTAAAGTGAAGTCTTTCTGAGATCACTTGAAAACCCCCGGTTTTCAAGAAAAAAGTGTCCATCACTCATCAATACCTTAATAAAGGGAAATGTCATTTTAACATTTGTTTTTGTATTTTTGGTGTCTTATTGTTTTCTTTATAGGGAAATGTATATTTCATGAAAAAAAAAAATTAACACTTTTGGCTGTCTGGAACGGACTAATTGGATTTCCATTATTTCTTATGGGAAAAATTAACTCGGCTAACGATAATTTCGGCTAACAATGAGCTCTCAGGAACGGATTAATATCGTTAGGCGAGGGTCCACTGTACAGTAGTACCAACACTCTTACATGGGCGTAAAGCTTGGGTTGTGAATGCAGCAGCTAGGAGGTGGTTGGAGGCAGTGGAGACGTCCTGTCTAAGGGCAATGTGTGGTGTAAATATTATGCAAAAAATTCGGAGTGTGGAAATTAGGAGAAGGTGTGGAGTTAATAACAGTACGTATTAGTCGAAGGGCTGAAGAGGAGTTGTTGAGGCGGTTTGATCGTTTAGAGAGAATGGATCAAAGTAGAATGACATGGAGAGCATTTAAATGTGTAGGGGAAGGAAGGCGGGGTAGGGGTCGTCTTCGAAAAGGTTGGAAGGAAGGGGTAAGGGAGGTTTTGTGGGTGAGGGGCTTGGACTTCCAGCAGGCGTGCATGAGCGTGTTCGATAGGAGTGAATTAAGAAAATGGTATTTGGGACCTGATGATCTGTTGGAGTGTGAGCAGGGTAATATTTAGTGAAGGAATTCAGGGAAACTGGTTATTTTCATATAGTCGGACTTGAGTCCTGGAAATGGAAAGTACAGTGCCTGCACTCTAAAGGAGGGGTTCGGGATATTGCCAGTTTGGAGGGATATGCTGTGTATCTTTATACGTGCATGCTTCTAAACCGTTGTGTTCTGAGCACCTCTGCAAAAACAGTGATTATGTGTGAGTGAGGTGAAAGTGTTGAAAGATGATGAAAGTATTTTCTTTTCGGGGATTTTCTTTCTTTTTGGGTCACCCTGCCTTGGTGGGAGACGGCCGACTTGTTAAAAAAAAAAAAAATGATTGAGGTGTATAAATGGAATACAGGAATATATAAAAGGGATCCTAGGTAGTAGGTTGGTAAACAGCAACCGTCCTGCCAAATGAGTGTACAACGAAAACCTGTAATTGTTTTACATGATGGTAGGATTGCTGGTGTCTTTTGTCTGTCTCATAAACATGCAAGATTTCAGGTATGTCTTGCTACTTCTACTTACACTTAGGTCACATTACACATACATGTACAAGCATATATATATATACACACCCCTCTGCGTATTCTTCTATTTTCTTTCTAGTTCTTGTTCTTGTTTATTTCCTCTTATCTCCATGGGGAAGTGGAACAGAATTCTTCCTCCGTAAGCCATGGGTGTTGTAAGAGGCGACTAAAATGCAGGGAGCAAGGGGCTAGTAACCACTTCTCCCTATAAATTACTAAATTTAAAAGAGAAACTTTCGTTTCTCTTTTTGGGCCACCCTGCCTTGGTGGGATACGGCCAGTGTGTTGAAAGAAAGAAAGATAAAAGGGATGTAAATAGCGTGCTGAAAATATCCAGCCAAGACAGGACTCGCAGCAGTGGTTTCAAGTTGGAAAAGTTCAGATTCAGGAAGGACATAGGAAAGCAATGGTTTGGTAATAGAGTTGTGGATGAATGGAACGAACTCCCAAGTACCGTTATAGACGCTAAGATGTTGTGTAGTTTTAAAAATAGGTTGGATAAATACATGAGTGGGTGTGGGTGGGTGTGAGTTGGACCTGGTAGCTTGTGCTACCAGGTCTGGTGCCATGCTCCTTCCTTAAGTGGAAGTGACCTGACTAGGTGGTCATTGTTCTAGGCCTGGAGGTGGCATGGACCTGCTTCGCATTGAGTCAGTAGGCCTGTTGCAGTGTTCCTTTCTTATGTTCTTATCATTATCTCTGCCAAATTTGCAGGTTCGAATTCTGCTGTAGACCAAGAGATAATGTTTGTAAATAACAAGTATTTACAGTACTGTACATAGCACCCTCTAGGCATATATATTTTTTTCAACACATCAGCCATCTCCCACCAAGGCAGGATGACCCAAAGAAGAAAGATCACCATCATTCAACACTTTCACCATCATTCATACATGATCACTGTCTTTGCAAAGGTGCCCAGATACAACTGTTTAGATGTCACTCCAAACAGCAAATATACTCCAGCAAATATCTCTTTTGTGTACATGATATATATTTATTGTATATAAAATGGTATTACATTCTGTATATTCATAAATGATATGAAGCAACCATTTAAAAGAATTAATGCTGTAGATCAAGAGATATATAGTACATAAGAGAAGTAAAATACAATACAGTACTCTATACAATATACAGAGCAAAACTGTATAGCAGCATGTTAATTCTTGTATTCATACTGCACCTCTTTGTTTGCTGCACGATAGCTAGTCAGGATGTGATTTCGAATGGACCTGGTGAGAGTATAATAAGGGGAGTTGGCATAAGACCCAGTTGATATATTCTTTAGGCGCTCTCCTGCCTTCAACTCTATATAGAGCGTGACAAGTCCATCGGCTACTAAATCATGCAGAGTATCAAAGCGCTTCTCACCAACATAGTGTTTCTTGCTATCATAGTATAAGCGGAAGTGTTTTATTTGATTGTTAAATCTGAAAGATATAAGTCAAATATTAATTCATCCATATAACTTTTAAAATGTTAACATATTATTATTATAATCAAAAAAGAAGAGTTAAAAAATGTTAACATAATGCACTTGTGTAAGTAATTTCTAGACAAAAGTACAATAGTGCCTAAATCTTCAAAAATAGAAACAAAGTTGGAGAAGACTGGGTTGTAGATGTAGTGTGGGTAAGCCCACACTACAACTACAAGAAGCTGTTTCACAATTCAACTCAAATTATTAATTTGTTAAAACAAGCATACAAAATACAGTACAGAATCCTTTATTCAAATCCCAAAATCCGAAAGCTTTTCGAATGTTGACATTATGCACCACAAATGGATCATTCAGTGAAAGACGTGGTGGAGGCTCAATCCTCCATCTGTTGAGCCCTGATAGACAACCTTCATATTTGTACTAATGCCAGTTTGTTATATGCAGCAATTACTAATTGATTACCACGTGTTTTGTACTCTGTGGTGTGAAGATATTGTTCAAAATGTGAGAAGGGCTTATGAGCAATAGTGAAAACAAAAAAAAAAAAAAGCATTTATGTTTATCTGTATCATAGAAAGTCAAATTGTTGGAAAAACTTGAGAGGAGCAGTGTAAGTGTGAAGTGTTTGGCTGAGCAATTTCGCGTTGGAACAATCACTGTCTACGACTTAAAGAAACAGAAGGACTTTAAGTTTATTCAGGTATACACAAATACAGTTACATAGATTATCATACATAGCAGCATATATGTAGAGAACCTGGGATAACCCAAAAAAGTCAGACACAGTGACTTATTTCCATTGGGGGACAAATTATTGAAGTTATATGCTGAAAGTGATGAACAGAAGTTAATGAAAAAGAGAAAAACATTGCATAGAGGGAACAATGAAGATCTCAATCATGTACTGATGGAGTGGATTCATCAGCGTCAGAGTGAGCATATGCCACTTAACAGAATGCTGATCATGAAACAAGCAAAAATCTATTATGACAAACTGAATACTGAAGGTAACTGTGAATATTCAGCAGCTAGTTACAAAAATTTAAGACAAGGCATGACATTGAATATTTAAAGATTAATGGTGATAAAACATCTGAGAGAAAACATCATCAATGTGTTTGCCAAGATTGTTGCTGATGAAAATCTAACAGCAGAACAAATATACAATGCTGCTGAGACATTGCTGTCCTGGTGTTATTGCCCCAGAAAAACACTGACTACAGCTGATGAGAGAACTACAGGAGTTAAGGATGCCAAGGACAAATTAACTGTGCTGAGATACAGTGGCATCATAAGGAAGAGGGGCAGGGAGGCCAGGTAACACCATTTAGGGGGGTGACACCAAAGAGCCTCTAAAGAAGATGACACTAATGCCCAAGACAGTGCTGCAGCAACATAAGAGAAGAATCCTTCATTTCTATATAGCATATTATATGATTACAGTATACAAATTGGCCTATATAGGGAAAATCATGAATTTTGATGATGTGATAGATGATTCTGCAGGATTGAAGGCAAGGAAATGTAGGATCAGATTCACCGAGATGTTACCTGTACTCAAGGTCAAATCGGAACAAGTGTTTCTCTGATATTGAAATGTTTTTCTTTATTTTTTTCAAGTTTTTTTTTTTTTTTTTTTGCATTGTTAAAGATGAATAAATGTAGGAGCTGTTGCCTGTACTCAAAGTGGTATTTGAGTTTATGTTTCCTCAATATTACTACAATTATTTGTTTTATCATTAATAAAGTTGAGAAGTATTCTCCTGTTTGGTTTATGGTCCTTAAATGTTCTCATTAGTCATTGGCCATGCATTAGTTATGTGACTGGAGTTTACTTCCCCCATCCCCCCACCCTTGGATTTCATGTGGGCGACACCAAAGATGCTGCCCCGGGTGACACCAAAGATTCCGCCCCGGGTGACACCAACCCTAGCGACGCCTCTGCTGAGATGTGCTAATGCAGCAGGCATGTAAAAGTGTAAACGTGCTGTGGTAGGCAAAAACCTGAGTTCTCACTGTTTTAAAGGTGTGAATACCTTACCAATCCATTATTATGATGACAAAAGAACATAGATCACCAGGGACATCTTTTCTGATTGGTCTCACAAACATTTTGTACCAGCAGCTCGTGCCCAGTGCAGGAAGCCTGACTGGATGCCAAGTGCAAGATTTTGTTATTCCTTGATTACTGCTGTTCATCCTCCAACTGAACTTTTCATCAAAGATAATGTTTATGTCATGTACTTTCCCCCAAATGTGACTTCATTAACCCTTTCAGGGTCCACAGGCCCTCTCAGAGACTAGTTCTCAGGGTCCCCCAAATTTAAAAAAAAAAAAAAAATTTTTTTCTTATGAAAAGATAGAGAATCTTTTCCCGATCATAATGACACCAGAAGTATGAAATTTGATGGAAAACTACGGAATTATGCTTTCGCGAAGTTAGGGGTCTCGACGATGTTTATACATCGCCGATTTTGCCCACTTTGAGCCCTATTTTCGGCCAATTCCAGTGTACTAGTCGACAAAAATCAAAACTAATTTGCTAGAACTCCATTTTTTCTATCGAATGAGTACAAGAAACCACCAATTTACCGATTTCAACTATCCAATACAGTGGTCAGTATTTAGCAATTTTGCCAATTTCACACAAATTTCAAAAGATGCCAATCTCCAAATAGGGTCCAGAATAAACAAGAAAGACATTCCTGGCACTAAAATAACATTTCCTCTGTTCATTAGTCACATCCCCAGGCCCCTCTTACATTTCTTTTGCTTTCCACTTTTAATTTTTATTCTCACAAAAAAAAATAAGATTTACTGTTATGCAGACTACTGCATTAGTGTAGAAATGGTATAAATAATATCGACGCACCTGTGAAAGAATATTAGTTTCACCAGTTGACGTGTATTGGACGCTTAGCATGATTTGTTTACTTTTGAACTTTGGTAAAAATCGAGCATTTCTGCTACTTTGAGCTCAATTTCAAGGTAATTTTCATTGTAAAACCAGTCAAAATCATCTCAATTTCTGTAATACGTCTTCCACTCTATACAATGAGACCAGGAAAACTAGAATACAACAATAAATACCATATGAAAATACAGTGGACCCCCGGTTTACGATCACCTCCCGATGCAACCAATTATGTAAGTGTATTTATGTAAGTGCGTTTGTACGTGTATGTTTGGGGGTCTGAAATGGACTAATCTAATTCACAATATTCCTTATGGGAACAAATTCGTTCAGTAATGGCACCTGAACATACTTCTGGAATGAAATAATATCGTAAACCGGGGGTCCACTGTATAGTGCAAAGTCGCTGTTTTAATCCAAAAACACGGTCAAAGTTTTTTTTCTCATTACACCCTGTGTGCTGCAGGATTTTTTTTATACTGTGCACACTGACCACATAGACCCATTCTTTCATATGTAGGCCTACCAGCTTTCTCTCACTAGATTTGAAGGCGCGTAAGCCGTACTAGTACAGCCGAAACCCTGAAAGAGTTAATTCAGCCATGTGACCAAGGCATCATTAGATGCCTGGTGGCTAAAGCTCTCACTTCACACAGCGAGGGTCTGGGTTCGATTCTCGGCAAGGGTATGTCAACTGACTGGTGTGGATCACATCCTGGGACAAAACTGACGTGATTTGTCTGAAATGCTCTGCATAACAAGCAGCTTTCTATGTAGTAGTATGTCACTGATGTTAGCTAGGTCTGTATACCTTGTACACGTACTTGTAGAAATAAAGATATTATTATTATATTATTATTAAATAAAAAGACAATTTTTTGAAGAGCATGTTGGCAGCAGTGAATAGAGGCATGGATGTAGACAGCTTCAAGGAGTTTATTCTGAAGGATGTTGTATACACAGCTGTCAGTGCACGGGATCATGTAACTAAACAAACCCTTTAACATGCCTGGCACAACCTCTGGCCTGCAGCTATGTTGAGTGATGATGGACAAAGTGATGAATTTAAAGGATTCTGCATGTCAAGAGATAGAAAGATGATTTCAGACCTCCTTATATTCACAAATTCCAATAACACAATAAATTGAAAAACTAATGTAAAAGACTTGAAAGCGATCATGTCAGAGGATCTCACCTTCAAAGATCATACATAACACTGTATCAATCGCATCTGCTAGAAAAATGACAGGATGGATAATGAGAATCTTCAAAGCTAGGGAGGCCAAGCCCATGATGACACACTTCAGGTCACTTGTTCTATCTAGGCTGGAATACTGCTGCACACTAACAGCACCTTTCAAGGAAGGCAGGTGAAACTGCTGACCTAGAAAGTGTAGAGAACCTTCACGGCACACACAACTGCGATAAAACACCTCAATTACTGGGAATGTTTGAAGTTCCTCAACCTGCACTCCCTAGAATGTAGGCGGGAGAGATGCAAGATTATATACACTAGCAAAATCCTAGACTGATTAATACCAAACTTGCACACGAAAATCACTCCCAATGAAAGCAAAAGACTTGGCAGATGATGCAACATCCCCCCAGTGAAAAGTATGGGTGCCACTAGCATGATAAGAGACAACACAATAAGTGTCAGGGGCCCAAGACTGTTCAACTGCCTCTCAGCATACATAAGAAGGATTACCATTAGACCCCTGGCTGTCTTCAAGAAGGCACTGGAGGCACCTAAAGTCAGTACCTGACCAGCTGGGCTGAGGTTCATACATCGGGTTGCATGAAGCCAACAGTAACAACCTGGTTGATCAGGCCCTGATCCACCATGAGGCCTGGTCACAGACCAGGCCATGGGGGCATTGACCCCCAAAACCCTCTCCAGGTATACTCCAGGTAATCTGTAGGAAATGGATATCAAAGTTCTTAACACTGATAATGACGCTCCAGTTGTTCATTCAATGACCGATGGAAATATAAACACATATGCAGTATAATGTGATCCTTTATTAGCAACATTTCACCCATGCAGTGGGCTTTATCAAGTCACAAACAGATCTAATAAAGCCCACTGCGTGGGCAAAACGTTGTCCATAAAGGATCACATTATACTGCATGTGTGTTTATATTTCCATTGTGTTGGTATTTTATACCATTTATTTCCATCAATGACCGATGCTGAAATAGTTGAAATGGTTCTGAATCAAGGTGATCCTGATGATAATAGTTACAATGAAGATGACATTGTTAACACAGTGAAAAATGTGCCAATAGATAACATGGTGAAAATGTATAATGGACTTACTGAAGGACTAGAGCAGCATGCATTCAAAATGGAACAAGAAATCATGTCAGTGTATAAAATCAGAGAGAGACTGCTATGACAAAAACCATTGTTACTGAGGCAGATGACACAGGAACATTAAAAAAGTCATCCAGAACTGCTTCTTCATCCCTAGAGCATCCACTTCCAGGTCCCTCAGCTGCTTCTGATGTTCATCCTAGAGCATATACTTCCAGGTCCTGCAACTGCTTCTGATGTTCCTCCTAGAGCACCTACTTCCAGGTCCCTCAACTGCTTCTGATGTTCCTCCTGGAGCATCTACTTCCAGGTCCCTCAACTGCTTCTAATGTTCATCCTAGAGCATCTACTTCCAGGTCCCTCAACTGTTTTTGATGTTCCTCCTACAGCATCCACTTCCAGGTCCCTCAACTGCTTTTGATGTTCCTCTTAGAGCATCCACTTCTAGGTTCCTGAACTGCTTTTGATGTTCCTCCTACAGAATCCACTTCCAGGTCCCTCAACTGCTTCTGATGTTCCTCCTCAGTGATTTCATCAATGATGTACTCTCTCCCTCAAGTTTTCTCAGCCCTGGCATAGCTGTAGTGTCGGGGCCCCTGCTTTTATTTTCCCTTTTTGTAAGCAGTCTCCTGTTCTTTGGTACGTACCGCACAGTACAGTACTGGTTTAGATTAGATAAAAGGGTTTCTGTACTATATTTTATATGTCCAAAGGAAAATTTAAAATAATTTAAAATGCTCCCCAATTTTCAATGGTTGACTTGCAAGAAATTTTGGGAAAATTTTAAAATCCTTTGTGCTATCAGATGAATTGTATTCATTCTTTACTTTTCAATATGGGACTTTGTTGATCGTAATATTTGTTTAAATTTACTTGTTTTTGACAGCAGTTTCTTTTTTTAGTTTTCATATTTCAGCGGGGCCCCGCTTTACGGCGTTTCGCTTTAGGCGTTCCGCTATACGGAATTTCAAATTTGAAAAAAACCCCTATAGGGCCCCCCTCCCCTGTCTTTTTAATACGGTCCAGGGGCCCCCCACCGGTTTGTTTTTTTTTCTCCCTGGCAATCTCCTTATTTGTCTGGAATTTTCCCAAATTTCAAGTTTTTAAAAAGTTTTTGTATTTTTTAATGTTTTGTACTTGAAATTAAAAACTTGTGTACACCTGTACCAAAATAAACTTCACACTGTGCGGGGCATGTAGGTCCCAATTAAAATCACTAAGAGTTTTTTTTGAGAAAATAATAAAAATAATAATAAAAATAATAATAATAAATAAAAAAAATAATAATAATAAATAATAATAATATAATAATCTCTTGGGGCATTAAGTCGCATTTTAAGTTAATAAGACATTTCCCTTAATCTATGATATTTTTTTCAAAATTTAAAAGAAAACTTATGTAACACACAAACATGATAATGCCCCCTTTAAAAAAAATTTATACAAAATATATGAGATTTTTCCAAAAACGGTTTGTAGAAGTGTTGGAAAATTACGTTTTCTCTACCCCGTCCCCTGTTATGGGGATAACTTTTGAAAAATATTCCTTTTCGAGCCTTCACTTTATAGTTAATTCTGTTAACTTGTAACAGTGAAAAGAGTTTTTTGTTTCGTGATTAATTATTAAAATTAATAAAAAAATTTTTAAAAGGGTTTAAAAGTTTCACAAACTCTTCAAATGTAAATGAATGAATTTAAAAAACCGGACAGTATTTCCGTCCATTTCGCCGACGAGTAAAGTCCACAACCTGTTCGTTTTTTTTTGTTTACGCTGTTGAGCTGGGTTGTATTTTAAAATGTTTATTTACGTTAATATAACATTTTCATTATCCACCCGTGATTTTTTTTTCAAAATTATATAATAAACATGATACTAACATAAATACATAACAACATATGTGTAGAGAACTAGGTAACCCCAAAAAAATCGAGTGACTTTCTTCCATTGCGTTCCCCAGAGCATCATTTCTTTCAAAATGATTTAAGAGGGAAAGGGAGGTTCTTCTTTTTTATTCTACCGTATCAATGTGAGACAACCTGTCCAAGTAATTGTACACAAACCGACGTGTACCTGTTTACAAAACTTCCTTTACCTGGTTTTTTACATAAATTGCGCCTGTTCCTTTTCCATGCACTCTTTTTTTCTCGGTATGGTAGCCTGGCTGCTCCATACATACCACACTTTTTTTTTACAATAAATATATCATTACCCTATTTTTTAAGGTAGTAATGAGTGAACTGTATATACATTTTATCGCTTGGATGCTTAAATATCATGAATATATGTTGGGTGGGGTGGCCTGGTATGGGAGCCTGGTGACTACCATACATACCACATTGATTTCTTACAATAAAAATACTTGTCTCACCCTAGATTAAGACTATAAAATTTTAAGGTAAGTAATGAGTGCACTATGTGTGTATTGTACTTTTTTATTGTTTTTTGATGCCTGGTTCTATTGCTAACATAATATATGTTAGTGTAAACTTGTTATCTAGTGTTTGTATGCATTTGTAAGTGGAAAAAAAGGGTGTTCCACTTTACGGTGGTTTCCGCTTTACGGCGGTAGCCTGGAACCTAACCCGCCGTATAAGTGGGGCCCTCCTGTATTTAGTTTCGGATAACAATATTTTCAACTTATGATGAGTTCACTGGAACATAACCCCATCATAAGTAAAGGAGCACCTATTGAGGTACCAAGTTCAAAAATAACAGTAATAGTACTAGTGCTTAAAAACTTGATATGTAGAGTATTAACATTAAATTTTTTTTTACACATAAGGTACTTACCGCATACTTAGCGTGTAAAATCCCTCAGCCTTCTCACTATGTCTCACAAGATATGTCCCTTCCAGTGTGAGAAGCTCTTGGCACAGGTGTCGTCCAATTTCGCCATGATACTCCAAACCATAATGAGAGGGACTGTCTGGTGGTCTATCAGTGCACAAGACAGCAGCTGGCTTGGGTGCTTCCTCTTGAAGCTGGTACACTGAAAGATTGAATACAAACTTAAACTACTCATTATAATTACAGCCTCTCCTCACTTAGCGATGTACTCGTTTGCTGATGACTCGGACTTACGACGGGCTCTCTGACCAGTTTGCAGTTAGTTTAATATGTTTATTATGCACCCCATACCCATCCTGTGGGCGGTAGTCAAAAGATTACAGAGGTACATAATTGGTCCAGGGACTGGACTCCAAAGTTTTGATAGCTGAGCAAGTTACAGAGGTAATGAATTCACAATTTACAAAGGTAATGAACTCACAAATTACAAAGGTAATGAACTCCGGGTAGGTCTAGTCACAATCATGACAAGTTACAAAGGTATTTACAGATTACAGAGGTACGTAATGGATCCAGGGACTGGGCCCCAAAGTTTGGATGGCTGAACTAGGTACAAGGTAATGAACTCACAAGTTACAAAGGTAATGAATACTGTAAGAATGGTTACTTACGTTTATACATGGCTACAATCATGAACAAATTATAGTGTAATGAGCAATTCACACTTCCACACCCGGTCACAACTGTAATGAGTTATTGGTGCAAATATTGATTGATGAGTCACACACACACATACACACACACATACAAATTCACACACACACACATAAACACACACACACACACACACACACACACACACATACACAAACTCATACACACACACGCACACACACTCATACCGGTGAAGAGCAACCGGTGAAGAGGCGGGGCCAGGAGGTAAGACTCGACGCCTGCAACCACAAATACGTGAGTACAAATAGGCGAGTACACACACACACCCACTCATACACACACACACACTCATACACATACACACGCACACACAAACACACACACAAATACACACAAGCACTGGACAAGCACCTAAAGTCAGTTCCTGATCAGCCGGGCTGTGGCTCGTACGTTGGTTTGCGTGCAGCCAGCAGCAACAGCCCGGTTGATCAGGCTCTGATCCACCAGGAGGCCTGGTCACAGACCGGGCCGCGGGGGCGTTGACCCCCGGAACTCTCTCCAGGTAAACTCCAGGTAAACACACAGGAGCTTGGACTCGACCCCTGCAATCTCAACTAGGTGAATGCACACACACACACATACACACACACACACACAAACACAAACACACACACACACACACACACACACACACACACACACACACACACACATGCACACATGTGGTAATGCTTTATTTACAGCTAGCAAAGTCAGGGTATTTCTCCAGAATGGTCTGCAATATACCACTGTGGATAAAATACTTTGCCATTTCTTGAACATTCCTGAGTGAGTTGTTTCTAAATTCATTAATTTTATCACACTCCAGTACATAATGACGCAGGGTGTGACAATAGTCCATCTGGCAAAGTTTACATTTCGTTTGGTCTACATTTGGTGGTGGTGATTTAACCTGCCAAAGATACTTGTAACCCAGCCGGAGCCGGGCAGTAGTGACATCCAAGAGTCTGCTTATTTTGTTGGATGTACCATAGACATGTGGCTCCTCCTGCATGATAGAGTGATGATAGATGGACTCACTGGTGTCAATCTCCCTGAGCCTTAAGTCCATAAAATTCAGTTGAAGTTCTTTTCGTATTATTGTTCTCAAACTACTACCTGACAAGCCAAGATTGTAATCTACTCCCTCTTTGAAAGCATACAGCTTAGCCAATTTATCAGTTCTGTCATGCATCTGAAGACCAATGTGAGATGGAATCCACAGCATGTGCACTCTGACTCCACTGTCCACAATCCTACCATACCTGTGTCTGGCTTCTGACACAAGCATGCCACAATTTATGCTTAATGAGTTGAGAGCATTTATGGATGACAGAGAATCAGTTACAATTAAACTGTCAATCTTTGATACATAGATGCATTTCAGTGCAAGGAGTATGGCAAACAGTTCTGTCTGAAGGGTAGAGGCCCAATTATTGATGCGTGCTCCAGTTTCTTTAAGAGAGCCATCACTCTGTACGACAACAGCAGCACTACCAGCTGCACCAGTGGATTGGTGAACAGAACCATCAGCGTAAATAATTTGCGAGAGTGTGTGCTGTGTGACTAAGTTATCAATACAGCTTAAGGCCTCATGTTTGGCTTCAAGGCGAAGTTTTGGTTGTGATTTAAGAAGTAGTTTGGGGGGAAATGGAGGAATGGTAGTTTGGAATGGGGTAATATTCCATGGAGCGTAGAAGTGCCGCTGTTGCCTTACTTGACATAGATCATGTATCTGATTCATGCGGAGGTCGGTTCCAGTTTTTTCGATCCATCTGGAGGAGTGTTCACCAGTGCTGAGGAAAGTTTGGAGGGCTTCTGTGCAGGAGTTTGAATGAGCTTGCCTGAGCATATTAACCCCAATTAGGATATTTCTTTCAGTAACACGATCTCTGATGCTTGGAATATCAAGTTCTTTTTGCATATTTAAAATTTTGGCAGTACGAGGGCATCCTAAAATGATCCTCATTGCTTCGTTCTGGAGTTTTTCCAGCCCTCCAAGCTTCCAGTCAGACACAAGAGCAAGTAGTGGCACAGCATAATCAACCAATGATCTAATATAAGCAAGATACATCATTTTCACAATTTTAACATTAGCACCATACCTGGGGTGAAACCCAGCCACAACTCTAAGTGCTCTTAGTCTTTCTTTGTATTGGCGACAAAGTCTTGTTACAACAGGTCCAAGTAGTGGAACCTCAAAGCCTAGATACCTGTATCTGCTTACATATTCTAGAAGAGACCCATCATGCAACTGGATCTGACGAACTGTGCCTCTCTGTCGAGGAGGACGCCTATTGAGTATCTTTGTTTTATCAGTAGAGACTGTCAACCCCAGGTCCTGACACGAGGCTAGTACATGATTAAGAATGTTTTGGGTATTGGAGAATCCGGTGGTGTGAATCATTATATCATCAGCAAAACTAATCACATAATGATGGGGCTGACTAGGCATAGCATTAAGTAATGCATTAATTAGAATATTGAACAGTGTGGGACTGAGCACACCTCCCTGTGGTGTTCCTAATTCAAAGTCTTTAGTTACACTTCTATGTCCTTGGAACAACACAGACGATTTTCTGTTTGACAGGTAGCCTTTAATCCAGCGGAGAAGCCATCCTCCAACATCCATTCTGGCAAGTTCACTAATGATTACATGTCGGTTGGCTACATCGAAAGCGGCCAGTTTGCATACCTGAATAATGTAGGTTAGAGCTGATTTTCAATATTCTGTTTATTACAATATACAGGACACTACTGTATGAACATTTAAAAATATACCAGAAATGCTATAAATGGTGCAAAGGTGACATTAAAACAATATCAAAGATGGTTGACACAAACCCACTATCATTATAGTATGCTCCTCACTTAGCGACGAATTTGTTTACCAATGTGGTCTTGGGAACAGATAAGTGAGGAGAGGCTGTATTATTTTCATGGGGGAACATCTTTACTGAATATAAATAAGACTAATTAACCAGATTAGTCCATGCCTGCCCATGCACCACCATGTAAAAAAAAAAAAAAAAAAAAAAAAAAAAAAAAAAAAAAAAAAAAAAAAAAAAAAAAAAAAAAAAAGTTCAGCAATTATGGAAAGATACCATATATGGTGGTAATGCCTGGACTGGGTGGTGGTGGTAGAAGTGATGACTGTTCAGTAGGAAACAGACAAGCATCCCTTGAGTCTTCATCAAATAAAGCAGCTCACTGGTGAAGCAACTGCCATCACCATTACACTATTATCAACACCATTACACTATCACTATCACCACTACACTACCACCATCACCACTACACTACCACCATCACCACTACACTACCACCATTTATTTATTTATTTATTTAGTAATTTGAGCATACATACAGAGGTACAAAAAAATACAGGTAAGAGCAGCATGCCAAAGCCACTTATATGCATAGCATTATGGGCTGGCTTAAAATTAACTTAAGATTAACTAAGCAATGATGAAATCAGTGATAAGACATTATTGTAAACATAACTATAAAGCACAAATGAGTATTACAAAGATAGGTCATATGGTTGCATGCATTGCTGTACATTCAGTCGAATGGAGTACAGTGGACCCCCGCATACCGTACGCATCACATAACGTTCAATCCGCATACCGCTCGCTTTTATCGCAAAAATTTTGCCTCGCACACCGCTCAAAAACCCGCTCACCGCTCTTCGTCCGAGACGCGTCCAATGTGCGCCCTTAGCCAGCCTCACATGTGCCGCCGGTGGCATTGTTTACCAGCCAGCCTCCGCGGTAACATCCAAGCATACAATCGGAACATTTAAAAATATACCAGAAATGCTATAAATGGTGCAAAGGTGACATTAAAACAATATCAAAGATGGTTGACACAAACCCACTATCATTATAGTATGCTCCTCACTTAGCGACGAATTTGTTTACCAATGTGGTCTTGGGAACAGATAAGTGAGGAGAGGCTGTATTATTTTCATGGGGGAACATCTTTACTGAATATAAATAAGACTAATTAACCAGATTAGTCCATGCCTGCCCATGCACCACCATGTAAAAAAAAAAAAAAAAAAAAAAAAAAAAAAAAAAAAAAAAAAAAAAAAAAAAAAAAAAAAAAAAAATAGTTCAGCAATTATGGAAAGATACCATATATGGTGGTAATGCCTGGACTGGGTGGTGGTGGTAGAAGTGATGACTGTTCAGTAGGAAACAGACAAGCATCCCTTGAGTCTTCATCAAATAAAGCAGCTCACTGGTGAAGCAACTGCCATCACCATTACACTATTATCAACACCATTACACTATCACTATCACCACTACACTACCACCATCACCACTACACTACCACCATCACCACTACACTACCACCATTTATTTATTTATTTATTTAGTAATTTGAGCATACATACAGAGGTACAAAAAAATACAGGTAAGAGCAGCATGCCAAAGCCACTTATATGCATAGCATTATGGGCTGGCTTAAAATTAACTTAAG